CAATATGCCCCAACCATTTCTGTCTATTAGCTCTCATGATTCCAGTGATCAATGGTGATTTGAACAGATTATGAATTTCATTGCTGCTTCTCACTTTCCATTCCCCGCCGTTTCCATCATTAATGGGTCCAAAGATTCGTCGTAATAGTATCAGTAAGATTCTGTTTTCCAAACTGTCACATACCGCTCATGTCGCGTGCCTGATTTAAGAATTGCTCCTTAAGAACCAACAGCACTCTGAAATAATAATGTTGAGGCGGCTCGAATTGGTCTAAAGGAGATCCCGTGGCCAATATACTTATTTCAGGAGTAGGGCAACTCAAGCTCTGGCACATATCGAGTATTCCTAGGCACACTTGGCTGGACACACCCACTACTATAAAAAGATAGCCCCCAGGTTATGATAGTATACTGTCATAGCCATGTTAACACAGATTACACTTACTAATCACACAAACATAAAAGCTAGACAGTTAGAATGGTGAAACAGGGACACCCAAGTCAGCCATGCAAATTTCTGAAAAAGGTTGTAATAATTTCAACATATATATATACATAAATATCAAGACAATCAAGATGGTTTCCAGTGAATGGAGTCAGGACTTAATCTCACAGCGATGGTGTTGAAACAGCCAATTACAGTTCTGAGAATATATGAATCATCCCTGTGAATCAAAGGTAACCATGTAAAGAGAGCATGTATGTCATCTCAGATTTTACTTATCCTATCTGGTAGGTCACTGCTCCCCTCAGTCCATGGTGATTTGAACCGGCTGACTCAATAGATCGCTTTTCCTCTGGTTGACCTGGTAAACACTGATCGTCTCACATATGAGGACAAAGGAACTGCACTGGAGCCCCACAATGCTCCTGTAGAAGGCTTCCTTGGATTGATGACACAGGTGGCCTGCACAACTGTCTCTCAGCCACTGGAACTCACACACAAGCTCCTGAAGAAGGCTTCCTTGGATTGCTGACACAGGTGGCCTGCAATACTGTCTCTCAGCCACTGGAACTCACACACAAGCTCCTGCCATGTTGAAGTTCTGGCAATAATAGGTAGGGTTTTGGGTAGGTTTGGTGATAGGGAGGGTATGGGTTGGTGATTGTTGGTTGGACTGTGTTTCGTCTGCCTGACTTCTAAGGAGGTATCATCCTGTCAGGAAAGAACTCAGAATTAGTAATCATCTTAAGATTCACACACCAGCTCAACTTATCTCCCGCTACCCTTCTAAGTCACTCAGAGTATTCTCTCAAGAACAGGAGACAATGTCCCCTTCATTTATCTGTCTGTAAGTCAGTAACCAGATAGAAGACAAGGTACATAGTGGAGATAGATAGACACTATTACATATAGATCATCCTCTCTCCACCTTCCCATCTGCACCCGCAGACATACATTCTATTCCGTTCGTACATATATATATTTCATATCTTCACAATCTGCCTGCTACACACCCAATGTTGTCGTGGAGTGTCTGGATATCAAGAACGGCCCCGTTCTGTGCGATCACACAGCTGAATCCCCCCCCCCCCCTGCAGCAGTGGCCAACTTTAAAGAGATATATATCATGGTACTTGTAAACTATAATCAACTTACCCAAGCTTAGGAATCCTTCAAAGATTAAACTGGTACTTTGAAAGCGCCAAAGTTTAATGAGAGAATTTAAATGTCTCCCGACACCTCAGAGGTCTGGCAAAAGAATGCCCGCCCCAGACTCCGCTTGGCGTCTCTAGAAAAGAAGTCCTGTATTCATGCCGAAGGAGTAAAAAGGCTTACAGGAATTTCTGAATAATGTTCAAGAAATATCTATCCCACAGTTGCAAGTTTGAAAATATAGACTTCTCAACAAACAAAAACTAGAGGGTATAGAAATGTTTATTTCACCAGATAGAGGTGTATATTAATATGAGGGACTATATGCACCCACCCCCCTCCCGGATGGGTTTAAATTTGAAATGTGACGTGCCCGCTTTGTCTTTTCCTTATGAATTTTCAGACCTTACTGTTGTGATCTTGCATCAAGTATATTTAATTTATTTTGCATCTGATTCCGTGACAGAAAATTATGTCTTTAGCAAAGTCCAGATCATCCAGCTGTTTTATAGGGTCCGCTGAATTGCATTCTTGATGTTAGCAGTTGCTGTCTTCATAATCCAGTCTGTTGCCAGTAAAAATAGGAGAGGCGACAAAAGACACCTCCATCGCACACCTGTTTTTATTTCAAATGTATCTGTTAGCTTTCTGTCATAAAGAACTCAACATTTCATGTCTTTGTGTGTTACTAAGTTAATAATATAAAATTGTTAACGGCAAACTGCTGAACGTACATTTGACTAAAAGAACTACAACAGCCGATAAATGATGGGCTTGGTTCTGCAATGTCCTGTAAGGGTTATGCAACTAACTTGTACATGGAATGTCTCCTAATGACTAATCCCCTGTCTCCTCAAAGAAGCACAACCTGTGTTTATTAGTTAGTTACTCAATATGTAATGCTTTTTTGTTGTTGTTGCATAATCATCTGTAAAATTCTGTTAATTAGTCAGCTTCCATCTCCATAAAATGAAAGTTAGCAGCAGTGGTGGATCTCAGATATTCCTCTCTCTATCTGTTTGTCTGTCTCCTGATGCTATTCTCTGACTTGTTTTACTGTCTACTTCTTGCACACTTGTTCTTCCCCCCCCCCCCCTTCTCCCCCCCCCCCCCCCCACTTAAAGAAAAAGAAAAAGAAACATATATAGTTCTCATGTTAATGTGACTGACATATTTGACTTGCCTTGTGTTTCTGTCATCAACTCTCTCCAACACTGTATTATATGACTGCTGTTAGTTTCTGTAAAATATATATTTTTTAGACCAGTCAACACTCAGTGATGTGGTCATTATCGTGATGGCTGCCTTTACTTCCCAGGACTTTACACTGTGAGTAAAGTCAGTTTAAAAATAAAAAGTATGGCTCCATTTGGATTTGAACCCACGCCCTTTAGATCCATAGGGGAGTATTTTTATCAAATTATCAAAAATACTTTGGACGATTCTGTTTCTCAATTGCTATTTTCACTCTGTTTCACAGTTGTTACACAAAATAAATAAATTCGTGAATATACACAAAATCTCTCTGAAATTCAACCGTTTCCATAAAAGTAAAATCACTACATGAATATTACTTAGTTACTTTTTTCTTGTTGAGAAAAATAGTTTGTTACCACACATTTGACATAAACAATAACTGAAGGATTTTACACACTTGTGTAACACCACAAACTGCTAACATTTTCTTCCCTAAATAATAACTTTATTTTAAAAACATTTTGTGGTAATAAATTGTTCTTTGAGATTGCATTCACAATTCTCAGAAAGCATTACCCAAGCTATGGCCTGAGTGTCTTTAAATCTAATTTAAAACTGACCAGTTGCCAAGTATTTTTTTCCCAAGATTAGAAAACAGAAAGTCATGCCGATGTGTTGGGAAATGAGCAGGCAAATAGACTGGCTGGCCCTGCACCACTTAGTGGTGAATTGATGTATGACAAGTTAGATATTGTGAGGGCCCTTTGGGAGCGAGTGAAGAGTGCGGAGGCGCGGATAGGTCATTACGAGTTACCAGGGGATCTTGCCGACGCTTAACACTCAGGGGAAGGATGAGGCGTATATACAATCAGACGATTACTGGTACCATCAGAATTGGAACTCTTCGCTTACTGCTGAAGATGGGGGCTGAGCACATTTGTCCCGAGTGCTGTGATGTCGATTCTGAATTCAAAATAAAAAGCAGAAAAAGCCTGGTTTAAACTGGCCAACAGGACATGTTCTTATTCTTTAGTTTAGGTATCATCCATTGTTTCCCTGGCCATTACCGGAGATAAATAATCAAGGACATTTAAATGCCTAGCTTAGTATATGTAGAAAACATACATGGTAAACATATTTTCTTCTTTATATGCTGACATGTTGCCATTGTGACTTTACTGGATAGAAAGATACTGACTAGTAAATCTTACTTTGGTAATTGTTATTTAGTTTTGTATTCCTGCTTTCTATTTCCTTTGCTACCTGGTCTGATTTTGCTGTTTGCCCCATGGTTGAAGCATTCTAAAATCTGATTCTAGTGCTTATCTTAAAGCCAGATAGTGAGCATGTCACTGACTTCTGTAGGACTGCAATAGGTCATCGGTGGCGATTAATTATGATGAAAATTCAGATGCCTGGCTTATTGTGTATAGAAGGAAAGTTAGTTGCCTTTTCTTTACAGGATGTTGCACAACCAACCCCTGCGTTTTTTTTTTTTTTTCATTTTTCAGCTGTGTTTTTTCTCGGCAAATTTATGTCCAGTAGTTTGCCATTGCTTTCAAAATGGTCTGCTTCTTAATACCATTGTCGTAACCAGCTAAAGGCTCGTGGCTGGGATCAAACCCGGCAACCAAGCTTTAGAAAACGCGCCCTCGGTGCCCAAGCCACAGACGCCAGCGTGTATAGAAAGCAAATCATATGATACACATCTTCCTTTCTGTCTTGTTCAGAACCTGAGTTTTGCACGCACATCCAGTTTACAAACCTGATTTATTTGTAATCAGACTTATGTTCCTGGCCTGTCAGGTAGATGCTGTCAGACTTTGAAGGAAACCCCTAATTAATTGACTTCCACAACATGCCCATTAAGGGGCAGTGGGTCTTTTTTTTTTACCTCTGAAAGTGGGGCCCCGGAACCCACATTGGGGAAATATGGGGATACATGAATGACGCAAGGATTGGCATCGCTGTACTCAGAAGACTTTCATACACCTGCTCTGCCTGCTGCTCAGTAGCAAGCAAAGTTCCCATGTTAATACTGCTAGCTGCAACATGATTAAAAGTCTACCTGTGTTTTTCTCTCAACACTAAATATCACCTAGAACCTCTGTGCCCCCTCTCCCCGCTGAATCAGACATTCAAGGTAGATGAGAAGATATTAAATCGCCTTGGTAATTATTATTTTACTTTGTATTCCCCAGAAATAATGGCAGAATCTCAAGACAAATCCGATGTTAATACCATCCTCTTTACAAACCTGCAGCTACTGGGATTAGATGTTGTCGGCATGGAAGCATCCTACAAGATCCCTTTCAATAAGTGAGCTTGATTTCGTTCATTGTTAGTGTATCAGTAATTGAGTCTTGTTTGAGTTCCCCACTTGTAATCACTGGCGCAGAGTCCTGCTTGTTTGTCCACTTGTGGGCTTTGCCCTTGTTCTAGGGCTTGGGTGTTGCAAGCTCTTCCATTTTACAGGCCTGTCTTATTTGTGTACTCTCCTGGTGGGGAACCTGTTTCTAGGATGGCCACAGATAGTGGTAGATAGTTGTTCCCGATGCACCAGCATAGGTGGTTCAGCACCTCGGCATCCCATATTTGAGTCAGTAGACATTATTTGTTTCATAATGTCAGAAAATGAAAAAGCAGAACTCAGACAACGCTTGCACAGTGGGGGGAAAAAACTGTCATAAGCACACAGGATTGGACCTGCTTTGATATTCTATGTCTTTGTTGAAAAAAATAGGTCGGTTACCCCTGTCGCTCCCAACAAGACTATACTTCCGATTGTAATTCAGTCCTGTAAGTGCCGAAATATCTGTCTGCAATAACCTGTTCTACAAAAGTATAGTTGAATTCTATTGGTTATGTATGAGCGAGGCCAGCACATGAATTTAGAAACTTCCTCATGTTGGTTGCATGGCCCCATTGTGGAGGGCGGTGGGGCGAGGATTGGAGCCACTACCTCCCTAACAGGTATGTTGTAACAGTCGACTGATTAGAAATTTCCTGCAGAATCAAAGTGGACCTGCCTGAGCAGCAGGGAACATCAGTCTGCATACAAATAAGCCAGATCTGTAAAACAGATGTGAGCGCACAACATTAATTCTGAAACAGGACTAAAATCCAAAAGAAGACAACCAGAACTTTCCACTGCAGTTTACATCCAGTAACGCGTATAAAGAATATAGTAACTAAACATAGTACAGAAATTGTGGGGGTCCTTACCGCCCCGGTGACTTTTTTTTCAAAGCCAAGTTGATGTCTGATTTTTCCATAAGCCTCAGTGATAGAGGAATGACATGAGTTGTCCAATACATATTGTTTTAGGTTCTTGGAAGTGTATTCCATTTAATGCTACAAACTGTTCATATTTATTGATTACTTTTTTTGTGTATTTATACATATATAAATAGGGTTTAAAAAAATATTAGTGATCTATTGAAAATGATTGTGTTGTTTAGCTTTTTTCTGGGAATTCCCACTGGTTCATGACCCGTTGTTTTTAGCATTCGCAGGAGGAAAGAGAGACTTGATCTGCTTAAAAATGGGAGTCCTAGATAGAGCGATAGAGCGGCTAGACGCACACTGCAGATCGGAAGGTCGTGGGTTCGCTGCCTGGCGGAGCCGGACTTTTCTTCAAAAATGACCTTGGCTCCCAGGTCTACCCAGCCTTGAGTGGGAACCGGGTGCAGTCCCGGGAAGTAGAGGCGGCCGGCGTGATGCCGACCACATCACCCATCTTGTGCCGATTGGACTCTAAAATATAGGTCTAGCTCTATATGCCCCATACGCCTGAAGGCGTGGAACAGGGTCCTTTACTTTACTTTTTTTTTTACTTTTCTGCTTAAAAATATTATCCTTGAAATTATTAGAGTAGAAGTAATGGGAAAATTCTTGGCTTTTGTATAAAATTTGTCTAAACTAGACATCAATTTTTTTTCTGTTGCTGCCGAATATATTTGGTTTAGTATACAATAATTTCTGAAAATGTATTATTTTCAGAGATATGTTCAATCTCCCAAACAAGGCAGGCTCAGAGGCAGTGTTATATTTTCTTTTCCAAAGGCTTAATCCATCTTTATGTCAAGAACAATTCAGGTATGTGGATAATATATTATTTTGTTTATTTTTTATTTACCATGTGGATAATATATTATTTTGTTTATTTTTTATTTACCATGTTAAACTATTTCTTTTGTTTAGTCATATCTTAAAGATGACAACCTTACAGAAGAATATTATATACTGCTATGGAATCCTACTTGAAAAAAAAAATCTTTTGTTGTTTTTATGTTGTTGTGTGCCTTAGGGTTATGAATGCAGTTTTGTAATTCCATCATACCATGCTTAGTACAGATGCCGGCGGTTTTGGGTTTTATTCTCAAACCATTAAGAAAGCAGTGGCAAATTACTTGTGGTTAAATTGCTTTAAAAGTCTGCAAACAAATGCTGGAAGTTAAAGCCCTGTAGAGAAATACAGCTAACTGTTTAAACTGAGAATATATTGCTTATATTTCTAGTGTCACACAACACAAAGCATACTTACCTACATATTAAGAAGTCATATCAGCAGTTATTTTTCTTGTTGCTTAAATTTAGTTAATTATCTTTACCAGTGTTTTCCAGTTAATTAACACCTGCGGGCTGCCTTTTATTTGCCTTGGGGCTCTGAGGACCACCAGTTTTGTGGTGTGGTTTACAGCTAAGCTGCACCTTTCTGCCAAACACACGTTTCAAAAAACTTTAATAGGTCGCATTTTATGACAAACTTGTTAAGGGGCATTGTGTTAGCCCCCCACCACACACACACACACACACACGGGAGCCGGGAACTCGCACATGAACAGTAAGAGATTTCAAGGACAAAAACCACTTACATATTATTTATACCTAGCTCAGGCTGAAAGTTCAGCAGACTTCATGCATTTTCTAATGTAATATAGCTACATACTATCAGCAAATGCCTAACCTTATTTTCCTCTATGTCGGCTATTTGCAGAGACTGCTGGCCTGTGTTAGACAAAAAGACAGAGTTACAGTTTAGAAAGAAGTCAACAATTTGGTTGACAAACATTCACAAGGTTTGTAAAGCTCATGTGCTTTGTATCTCAAGCCAAGGGGCGTTTGCTTGCTATATATTTATATTTTTGGACTTGGAAATATGTGTTTTTGGAAACTGCTTCACTTTAGAATTAGTTTGAATAAATTGTGTTAACCACTCATTTCAGATCCGCTATTTTAAATTCCTTTCCTTTTTTTCTTTGTTGCATGTTTTGGATGAAAAAGTAATCTACGTTTTCATCTCTCTCTTCATTGTCAGGTTTTTTTTTTCTTTTTAATACAGTTTATACATTTAATTGTATACTTAATTATTTAGCCTTTTGACCTAGTTTTACTAGTCATTCACATAATGCCTCTTATGCAAATTAGTTTTTGTCTGTCTACAGTGTTTTTCACCTGCTTAATTTAACAATTATCATATTAGGTATTGAGGGGGGGAAAAGGAATATTGTGAAGCTGTTGCAGAAATTGCCTGAGTCAGCACAAAATACAGCTAGAAAACTCATCAAAAGCAAAGACATAAGGCACAAATTGAATGTTTCAACTAAGGTCTTTTTCAGCAAACAAAACGGTATGAATATTTAATTACAGAATTCAAGTAAAACAGTCTCATGGCAGAAAAAAAATGCTCATCTTGTTTATGTTTTATGTCTAAATCTATGTCTCTGGTGTACATTGTGATTTCTTTTGTTTGTTGGCTATTTACAGTTTATGTTTTCCTTTATTGAATTTTACAGTTGAATCAGAAATTCATTTATTTATGTTCAAATATACAGAATTAACTGCAAAACTGTTTTCTCTAAACTAAATGCAATTTATTTTTTCCCCCCAGTTTTTAGTTGTTACAGCTCTGTCTTATATAAACAGCTTTATGTATTTATGACAGGAGGATGCGGAGTCACGATTGCCACGTGTAAATGCAGCATTGCTGCTCTCCCCTGGTGGGGGCAAGTTCATCCATCTGCTGTACAGTTTTTCAACTTATGTCTTGGTCAACGTCATGAAGTCAGAACATGGTAACATATTTGTTTTTAAATATGAGTGAGCAGAATTAGATTGTCTTGCTTTATAAATTTGCTCTACAAAGAATTTGCTAATTAATCTGTACAGTATTCTTTATTTACTTACTTTGTCAGGGGTTTTTTCTACTTGGGGTGTAAAGGTTTGCCAGAGAGATCACCAGACTTCTCTGTCAGCAGTTTTCTTTTTTTGGCGTCGGGGACTGTGGGATGTTGTTTTCCTAAACAAACCCTAAGTCATCCTGGTAGTCTGTTTCTTGACCCCCGTCCCTGCCATGGTGTCTGTTTTTTTTTTAAATTTAATATATGATATTACTCGTATTTTATAGGCCAGTCTGCACTCATTGGATGATGTGGTCGACATCAATTAGATTGTCTGGCATCATAAATTTGTTCTGAAAGGAATTTGCTAATTAACTTGTTCTGTCTCAAACAACACACCATGTGTGACCAGATTTACTCGTATGCAGCAGTTAAATATTTTTATGCTAGTACATTTAATGTTTAGTTGGGGCATACTTAAAATAATCAACACATGTGTCTCACACACACAAGGAATGTGTATTTGGGCCCTGTGACTGTGGTATACCCGTTATTTTTTTTTTAAATGTCACTATTGACTCACTGGGACATCAGCTGTGGCCTTCTAGGAATGAAACAGTTAATCTACATTTTTCTTGAGACTAATTAAATAAAGTAATGGACCCTTTTTGATGCTGGGGCCATATTGAGCATATGATGTTAGTCTCATGTTGTTATTGTGTTATCGGCCTTTAGTGGGTGATATGGTCGACATCACACCGGCTGCCCTTACTTCTCAGAACATGACCTAGTACCTGTTTTATGCTGGGTCCAAGATCAGTGTTGAAATAAATCCGCCTCAGTTCAGGTTGGATCTTTCTAATGTGCTTGAATTAATTTCTGTGAAGTGTTTTTACTGGTGATTTCTGTTGTTAATTTCTTTCTACAGTGTATTCTTTTAAGTAAATCCTCATCCTTCCATGATTTTTCACCGTTATCTTTTATTTTCCAGTAGAGCACAGGTCTTCAGTCATCTCATACTCACAATAGCTTTCATCTCCTTTGTTATTTCAAATACTTCCCTCCATGTTTTGTACTTTATTATACCACCTTCCGTCTCTGTCTGACATCGCTCTCTCTCTCTCTCTCTCTCTCTCTCGCTCTCCCCCCCCCCCCCTCTCTCTGTCTCTCTTTTTCTTTCTTTCTTTTTTTCTTTTCCCCTTTCTGTCATACATGGATGCATATGTGAATGTATGTAGGCATGTATGACTGTGAGGGGAGAGTGAAAAATGAGTGATTGTATGTGACCGCAAGCATTTACCACCCATGCTTATGTGTTTTTTCTGTGATATTCATTTTATACGAATTGCTATATGAACTGACATGCTTTATTTATTAAATACAATTGCTGTTTGAAAGGGCCGAATATAAGACGGGCCTTAGTGCCAAATTTGTAACGCTATGAAAATAAAGTTTGCTCTGTCTCTATCTCTCTCTCGTTAACATTAAGTTGGGTTTAAAATACATATGTTCCAAGCAAATGGCATTTTCAATTATATAAATTTCAGGGTGGAAAGCCCAGGATTCCATTATCTACCCAACTTTACAGCCACGGACAACTGCACTGGGCTCAGTGATGAAATCAGCTGTCCATGACAGCCTTATCAGAGAGAAGAACCATTTCTTTGAGAATCTTTACCTAACTATTGATGCTAACAGACAGTGGAAAGACTATGCCAGGTAAGACTAAACACTGATGTTTGTTGTGTGTGTAAAGTGACTCATGACATGCAACTGACAGTAGCAGAACTGTTTATATACTGGACTTTCACAGAAGTAATACACTATGATCATTTACACGTATCATTTATATACTGGACTTTCAGTTGAATCATTCACTATGACCATTCACAATCAGCATTCATTAAACATTCACAGGAATAATAATTCACAAGAATAATTTCTACACTGAACATTCACAATAAACTTAAAAGTAGTTACAAAAGAGATTTGAAATCTTCAGCAGCCTATGTAAATAATAAACTGCAGATGTCTTTACAACTCATCTGTTCTTATTCCCGAAAAGGACCCTACGTATAATTGTTGCCGTCTGTCTGATGCTGTCTGCATCACCAACTTCCATTACAAGTGTAACCCTGAAAAAGGCTTAGGGCTACTTCTGATGGCTCCATATTTCTGTATGCTTGAGTTTCTTCTTCTGCTCCTTTTCCTACAGTAGAGCATAGTTCCTCAACCAGCTTTTACCAAATCTTATAAGAAAGATATAAAACCGAACAAACAGTAAATCAGCCAAATCTTGTGCAGTCTCCTGCAACTCCCTCCTCGTCCTCCTGTTAATATTTATCCCTAGCTTTAATTCTCTGCTGCATGTGCACTTAGGACACCTTTTAAGTCCTTTGTGTGGCTGAGAGGCTAGTGAACGCGTTTAACAACTTCATGATCATCAAGTAATGTTTCGATTTCTGCGTTGGACGATTGATTTTTTTTTTGTTGTTGTAACTATCTGTTGTTTTTGGACAGGGGTACGAGAGTCAAATCACGGAAGAGATTAGAGCCTCACTATTTAATATTTCTAAAGTAGGTGCACTGTTGCCAGCTTTCATTGTAGAAAAAAGTTTTTTTTTCTTCAAATGTGAATGGTTTCACGAGTGTGGACTTCGAGTATATTGGTTGTTGCTTTTTTTTTTTTTTTTTTTTAAAGTTTGCCCTGTCCGACTCAAACTAAACATGCCAGAGCTCCTTACAAGATAACTAACAAAATTATTTAGTCAGTCGTGCTCATTTTGTAAAGACAGTGTTGGACTTTCTTAAACTCTTCATTTATTTACATTTGTTACAGTGAACTTGTGAAAGATATTCGTTGTTTGACCAAATCAAATCGGGAGCTTGAACATGAGAAAAGACAGCAAGTTAATATTTTGGCTGATAACTGCATAAAACAAGGCATGTAAGTCAAAGCAGTTTCTTTATTAGTTGAATAACTTGTGTTTTAAGTGAGTTTAGTTTTGTATTTGTTTTGTAGAGGATAATCCACATGTAGCACTTCTTTGGAAGTACAGGTTCGTACACTTTTAAAGTATGAAAGTTGGAAGTAATATTATGCCCACAATTTTTTTTAAGTGAACAGTATAACCTACTGTGTGCACAAAGGAGTTGAATGGTCGTAGACCACAAAGCAGACCAAACAGACTGGAGAGATTATATCGAGACAGACCTACAAATACTTGGAGTCACCCACTGGAAAGAGAAGGCCAACCAGAGAAATGCATGGAGGCGGATGATATTTGCAGCAGTGAACCTCAAAGCTTGGCATGCTGAAGAAAAAAGTATAGCCTACAAGAATATACAGATTACATTTAAACCTTTGCAGATTTGAAGTTTGCTGACAAGTCACAGTTGAGTGACCTTATCAGATGACTTGTAGCTAGGCTTTTAATTGATTGACTAGGCATAAGATAATTTGCTGCCTGGGATTGTGGGGCAGAAAGACAGACCCCTGAGCACATACTGCAGTACTGCCTAAACTACTCCCGACCTCAGACACACAACCCTATTTGTGACCCAGACGGGACTAAATGTTTAGCCTGGGTGATGTCAAACCAGGAAGAAGAAGAACTGATTGCCTTGATGATGGTGGTCATCATCAGTCAGCAGGTCCTTTACAGATTGTCTCCTCACAGATCGCCTGAAAGTCTCTCTTTCTCTAGCTAGTTCTCCATCCCAGTGTGCTTTCATATACAATGCTTCTTCATTGTCTTGAATCCGTCTTGTTGGAGGTCTACTTTTGCCTTTTTTCTGGAAACTATACCCCCCATCGCCGTTCTCTGCAGGCCCGAATACCTCAGCTTTTGGGACAGGGTGCTGTTTATTAGATGGTGGTGATGAGAGTGGGGTGGGGGTAACATTAATGTGATTTCTGCTAGCTTTTACATATAATAGTTTAAAGTTCTGTCAGTGAGGCTGGATGGTTTGACAGAACGATGCAGCAGTCTTTTAACTGTCTAATGCGATGATGTTATGAAGGAAGGTAGGACACCAAGTAACATCACTTTAAGGTTGTGAAAATACAGCAAATGTAAATATAACATTTTAAAGTTGATGGTGGAGCTAGACATCCTGCTTTGTTTGAATTTTTTTTTTTTTTTTTTTTTACAATTAAATGTTAACATCTGTAACATGTTTCTAGTGGTAACACTTCTAACACTTTTCCTGTGATAATATTTGTAACGTGTTTCTAGTGATAAAATCTGTAGCATAATTTTATTGTTGAACTTATGCCAAGCTGGTTTAGGAATCTACAAATGTTGGGCTAAGAACTGACATCACACCAGTTGGGACATTCTCATAAGTGCTCTTCTTCTTAGCGTTCAGCGGTGAAAAATTCTGGTTCTTTATCCGCTTATGGACTCTTGTCTTGTTCCAGAACTGGAGTTTTGCATGCAAAGTAGTTTTACAGATCTGGATTATTGGTATGTAGACTGTTGATTTCTGTCAGGCAGATGCACTCCACCTTCAATTGAAACACCCTTAATTAGTCACTTTTTACACCATCCTTGTTTGACAGTGGGTCTGTTACCCCCCACCCCCTCCCCCAATAGTAGGGCTATGGAATATGTTCCGCACACAGAAAATTAAAAATTATTCTGCTGAATAAAATTATAATGTAATTTTTTTTTAAGCTGCCACTCTTGATGTGTCAGAGGTGGTTAGAAGAAAATTTACAAAAGAAATTAGAGACCATGCAATATTTTGTATTTGGTGTTTTAAAAAAAAAGGCTATATTAAAACAGGTATTGGGTGGTAAGTTTGTATTTTATTTACATTTATGGGTTGAGTGGCATGTATTTATCTCTCCTTGAGTTTTGTGAGTTGTTGCTTTATTTAACAGATCGTTGCCTGCAAAGCGTACAGTCACAATGTTTGATTCAGACCAGGATTCTCCTGCTCTTGCACGGGGACAGAGATTGCAAAAGGTAGGAACTCTGATGGGAACTACAGATAGTTGATTTGATTTGAATCGATGCGTCTGCTTCATGCGCTTTGAAACACTACCAAATCGCAGAATTTGAATACATTTATATTGTTTAGTGTTTAAGAATCAACATCACAACATGCCCACAAACACTCCATCCTATCTTCAGCAGCAAGCGCAGAATTCCAATTCCAGTGGTACCAATAGCATTCTGATTGTATATCAGTCTCACCTTTCCTTTGAGTGATCGTCGACCAGATCCCTTGGTCACCACCCAGTACCAGTCTCTTCAGACCATGATGATCCATCTGTACTTCCGCACTGTTCACTCGCCCCAAAGGGCTCTTACAAAATCTAGCTTGTCATGCATCAATTCACCACCAAGTTGTGCACAGCCAGTTTGTCTGCCTGTTTATTTTCTCATACACAGGCATGTACTGGGAAAATATCCAAAGGACGCTACCACCTCAAAGGGCGGCACCTAGCTTTGACTAGACGGGAGTCCACAACACCCAAAACGCAATCAGCATATAGGCCCACTCCTTAGGTCACCAGTAACCTTTAACAAACGCCTTTGGCATGTGCGCCCACTCCTGGGGTCACCAGTAGCCGCAAGTATTGCTGAATAAGCTGGGCTGACCTGCAGGAGCGGATAAACTGCTATCAAAATACCCACGAGGTTATAAAAAACAGCCATTGGCACTGAGAAATATAATCAGTCAAATAACCCAGTGGTCAGATAAAGCATCAGGATTTCACTTTTTTATCTCCAATAACTACACTTGTTTGGGGCATTTTGAATAATACGCCAAATTCCAATGAACAGTCCAAACTCTCCATCAGAATAGAATAACACACATAATTACGAATAAAGGTCGCACACATCCGATCTGTATCACTGACCAAGAGGCATCGACGTGGACACGGGTTCACCTTCAGCGGCTGGTCACACTTGGGTCTCACAGTACTCTTGGAGCCAGTGTTACCGTTAATCTCTAGAAACACCTGTTTCACAACTTCTAGTAGCCTAGACCTTTTGCACTCGTGTCTGTCATCATCATTATCTAGCGCCTTCACAACAGGCTATCATGCCTCTTACCTCTGGTGCACTTGAATAGCAAAGTGAGCTTAGTACACAACAATATGGTTGTTCTTCTTGCACTATGAGTTGCTTCTTTGTCTCTTGATCTGTTTGGTAGCAAAAAATTTTGCAAATGACTAGGCCTTCTTTTATTTTTAAAGATAGATATTAAAATGATGACAAGGAAAATACAAATTTGTTTAACAAAAGAATCTTTCCAGTATAATAATGTAAGATACATATATTATCGTTTTCAGAATATGGTGCCTGTTAATATTTTAAAATTTACACTGATAAATTGTTGAAAGTAAAGGTGTGTTTTTTAGCATAACACAGATCTGACTTTTGCATCATTCTTATAACAACAATTAAGTGGTTGTATTCCATATCACAGATAAAGTCACAGTGGAATTCTGTGACAGAATTCAACGATCATGCTTCGGAAGCGAGAGAAATATTCTACTCTGTTGTAGACAGTGAAGCCTCTAGATGTGTGCTTGATGGCGCAGAGATTGGTGTTCGTGTACCTGGTCTTCTTTTGAGACAATGTAGTGAAGAAATTCACAAGGTGAGTGTTGTTGTTTTTTTTTTTTTTTAATCTTAAGCTTTGTTATTATTTTCTTGTATGAATTTCAAATAACAAGTCATGGTCATAAAAAGATACATATATTTATATCTTATGTGTCTGCCTAACTATCTGAAGTTGTTTTGATGGTATAGCTGATTCCATGAGCCTTTTCTGGGTTTTTTCCCCGCTCACATTGTCTTCTCAAACTTAAAATGGTAAACATCCTTGTACAGCAGTGATAAATTAGAGGATATTAATGATGTTCCTACCTAGGGTGGTAGCAGGTGTGGCTACAGTTGGGGGGGGGGGGGGGTGTTAGAACATGGTTATTGACACCAACCCTCCACATAAACATTTGATGAGTATGTCAGCTAAGCCGGCCCCGATAAAATAATTTGCATAGGTATTTGTTGTAGGCTGCAAATCTGTGTGGAAAATGTATTTGGACATTATAGCTCTTCTACTTGTAGTCCCTCCTGGTGGACGTATGAGTCCACAGCCTTATACGCTGCCTAGCATTTCTGAATCAGGTGTTCTGCATTCCATGATGTCAAACTGTCCGACATCCATTCTCTTGGTTTCTTCCTGTCCCTTATCTTCTGTTTTATATTGTAAAGACACGCTCGTTGTCTCCCTTACCTGGCATGCCCAGTCCATAAGAATTGTCTGCTTCTAATGTGGGTTAAAAAAGTTAGTTGCGTATTATTTATAGGACTATACAGAACCAACCCCAGCATTTTTGTTGGCTGTTGTGGTTTTTCTAGGCAAGTTTACGTCCAGTAGTTTGTCATTGCTTTCCATGGGGTCGGCTTCTCGATACCACTACCGAAGCCAGCGCAAGGCCCGCAGCTGGGATCGAACCCAACATTATGAAGCACGTTCATGACCCCGACCTGATGCAAGTAGTCACTTCTTTGTATACATTCAAGGCTTCTTTTTTAAATTTCTAAACTATGTCCGTGGTTTTTTTATATCATTCTGTAAAATGACATTTTAGCAGCATCTCATCAGTTTTCGTTACCTGCTGGCTGGGCATTATTTGCTTCCAAATATTAGGATAGGCGTTATATAGCTCTGAAGTACTCTCTTTCTCCCTTCATTTGAAAAAGTATATTAGAGGTTGGGGATGTAAATCCTCTTCTTCTCAGCATTTGCAGGTTGTAGACTTCAACAGAAAGTCCTGAGTGTTCATCCACTTATGGACTTGTGTCCTGTTCCAGAACCTGATTTTTGCGAGCACGTCCATTTTTAAAGATCTGACAAAGTTGTGTACAGACTGTTGGTTCCTCACTTCTCAGGTAGATGCACTCCGACTTTGAAGGAAACACCTCCAATTAGTTGCCTTTTATGACATGCTTGTTAGGGGTCCACGAACCCACGGGGGGGGGGGGGGGGGGGGGGGGATGATATAAATAAATAAAACAGAAATTGTCATATCGACAATAACTGAATGACTAATTGTTTGCTACATAACAAGGTACAGAATAACTTGTTACTTCAAGGCTCATACAAATAAACTTGTGCTTTGATATTCTGCTCATGTGAGAACTACATTCTTCTTGCTTTTCTTTCTGCCCTCAATCTCCCGTGGGAGCACAGCCATTCAGACAACTCGTAGCAAGCAACTATAACCTTTGCTTTGCCATTTCCTGCAGCTTCAACATATTATTCACTAATGTTTCAAATTCTTTTTTTTTTTTTTTTTTTTTTTTTTTTTTTTTTTTTTTTTTATGTTTTCCTTCCATTCCTGATGCCCCTCTGTCTATTTCACTTTGAGGATTCCAGCAAAAGGACATTTCAGTTATACCGTTTAAGCTTTTTTCCCCCGTCTTCCACAAACATATTTTACTTACCTCTTGATTAAATGGGACTTTATTTAGCTACATTTAATTAGTGTGAAAAGCTATGTAAGATGTAAAACCTGTGTGCATGTGAATATTAAACATTTTTGCTTTATTTACGCTGTAAATATGTGTTTTATATAATTTCTTTCTGTTTACATCAGCGTGGCATCGATAATGTTTACAGTGGTGGGGCCTTGAATCTGGTGTCCCTTGTACAGCTGTGGAACATCAGTTTAAATATGTATAAGGATCAGCTTAAGTCAGGTCAGATTTCAAAATTCTTGTAACTGTTTTCTGATATCCTATTCAGTAAACTCTAATCTGTCAGCTAAACATCGGGGTTTCAATTTTATCGCAGACATGTCACCCCCATATTTGCTCTGTTCCTGTGCCGGTGATAACCACACAGTTAAGTCCCACAGGATAATCAAACAACCCACACAGGCCTTAAATGCAGTTGATGGAAGCAGCTGTTACAATAAACCAACATCTGCACACACATTACTGCCTAAGGCATACCAGTTTTGTGGCAGCGAGCCACTAGCCACTTTCTGACTGCATTTTACAACGCACATCTCCAAGAGCGCAGACAATGAGTATTCTCCATGAAATTCACAGCTCAGTGTTGCAAGATGCACTCAACTCACTAGCTGAAATACAGCACCTGTAATTGTATACTGGATATACTTACTGACCAACACAGGGATCTGAAGTCACCCCATTTTCCATATGTGAGATGATGTGCTTTCCCAAATTTTCTAAGCTTGAAATTTGGGGTTGTCTTTTTAGGGGAAGGTGATTGAAATATATATTTGTTAATCAGGGGGGGGGGGGGGGGTTGACTTTATACATAGGGGCGTTTTTTACATGGAGAAAAATGCTAAATTCCCAATAATGACCAAAAAAGAAATAAGATTCTTTCCGCTAGAAATACAGCCTCACGTGATAGGGGAAGGTAATTTTCTTAAAAAGGGGAAATAAGGTAGGGAACTGGTCAGGCCATCACAAAATTTGGCTTGGTTATATCATGGACCTCATGCTTCACATCCATACTGCAGTGACTGCTACGGTGTTCACTGTGCTGATTTATTCAGTCCTTCTGGATTATAATATCGATATATGATTCTGGGATTGCTAGTGACAGAGTCTAAACATGCTTGCCTGTCAGTCTGGTTTTAATATGTTATAATCCTTCTAGAAATTTCAACTTTAAAATCAACTCAGCTCATCCAACCATCATCTTGTGAGGTGCAATTTTTCATTATTTGAAGCCCCACTGTGGCTCTTGCCAGGGGCTGCAATTTAGCCCGGCTATGAACGCGGTTTCTAGGACCTTTCCACGGGTAATCCTCATCCGCATGGTGACGCTTTGTGTCATCGGGTGTTTATCGCTTGTGTGATGTCCTAGTGGGGTAAAAATCTGCTACTTATACTACTCAACTCAGCTGACAGTGGGGAGCAGGACATGTTTTGGACAGCATGATTTGACTTATCACCAATTGACCGATCCCCAACATTTTGGGACTGGCACCATATACCCAGCAAGCTTTATGGCATGGAGAGAGATTATTTACTATACTTTAATTTGTTGTCATTTTGTTGTGAATACTTTGTTTTTTCATTTAGGAAGTTGGTGTTATACTTCTCATTTTTTTCCCCCCATAAAATGTAATCGCTATATTTTTGTCTGTATGAAATACAGTGAATATTTTAATCTAAATGTTTTTTTATTTTTAAAATAGACATTTGATTGACTGCATCTGTTAGGAGAGCTGTGTTTCTCTCCTTATGTTTTTCTATCAATGGCAATTCTATTAAGTTTTTTAAGTCATTAGCTCTGAATTTGTGTGACAGTTTCCTAGTTGTCACTTATTGTTTTTGTTGCTCCATTTTACAGATTTGGGAGATTTTAACGCCTCCATGTTCTCATGTTGCGTAGATTTTCGTTTTACTTCTTTTGATTCTGACTTGCCAGATTAAAATTTTGTGTCTGTACATATCCCAGACTTTCAGTTAAAGTTCTTGGTTCAGAACTTTAAAACTGTATCTCCTTTATCGCTGGCTTTATACTCCAATAGATGGTCTAAAGTATTTGTCTACTTCTGCACTTTTGTTCCAGGATGTGCGTGTTGCATATGCCTCCATTCTACAGGTCTGGTTTATTGGTCCTTCCATCTAAGCAGATATACTTGGTTTTCATAGGACACATCAACCCTGCCTACATCGGCCAGGCTTTTAGTTGGAAACCTGATTCTAGGATGACCGCAGAAAGGTGTAGATTGCTCTTGACCAGTATGAGCCCTGATTGAGGCGACCCACCATGTGTGTTTCAGCATCCTCTATCCCTAAAACTATCTGGTTTATGAGAAAGATGAGGTACAATTTAGCATCAAGCTTGTGTTCTCAGCCTTACTAGAGGCTGGGGTACAGTTTAAAATAAAGTGCATAAGCTGCTCTGGCGGACTGATGTTTAACCCTACCAGAACATAACACTAAGTGATAAACACCTGTTGACACAAAGTGCCACCATTCGGATGAGGTTCACCCGGGAACAGGTCCCAGAAACCCCTTCAGCCCATAAGTTGGCTTATATTAGGGCCCCCAGCAGCAGCCAGGGTGGAGTTCTAAAACAACAAAAAAATTGTGTTCGACATTGAGACACAGAAACTTATTTAAAATAAATGTGCTGCTAAACATTAAAAGAGCAATAGAAGCAGGGCAACACCAGTGAGAACTGGTATTTTTTAAATGTTTGACAGCTGCATTTTCGGTGATTTTGTTTTTGTAACATAATTTGTTTTCATTGGTTTACAGAACCTCTCCCATCTCTTGCCACTGAGGTACCACACCTTCGATCGCAGGCTAAAGATCATCAGTCACACTTGAGGCATATCCAGGAGTTGAGGTACTTCGGCAAGATTGCGTTTTGGTCTCCCTTCATTCTTTTGGGTTTGCTTTTACCTTTTACATAGCTTAATTTGCATATAGAATGTTATGTTAAATTTATTGAGATAAATTTGCTTAATTCCTCTTTTATATTTCAGGACCCTAATTTTTTCTTTGGGGGGGGGGGGGGGGGGGGGGGGGGCACTGTTCCCTAAAAAACATCATAAAAATGACTAAATAGGGGTTTGCTGAAATCAGATGTGTTGGGCTGAAGAGCGCTGTTATCACAACCTAGCTTTAAACCACAACCTAATGTGTCAACTGCCATTTTCAATGCAAACACAGCAGAAGAAGAAGATCTGCTTAATTTATATAAACTAGTAAGCTCAAGCAGCACTGACTATACCAGGTATTACCATTTTCATGCATTTTTTTTTTAAACTGGGCATTTGACATTGTTTTTTTTAAACACTTGGCTTTGTATTTAGGTTTCTTTAGCAGTTATGAACTCTTGAGTTATATTTCTGTAAACAAAGATTTTTAATTAATTTGTTTATTCTGATTGAGTTTTATATATCAGAGAAAAACTAAAAATATATATTCTTTTTTATTATATATTTCAGAGAGAGACTAAAGAATAACACATTGCCAACATTAAGAAACTCTATTGTACAGCTGCAAAAGCAGCTGAATAACCAGGGTGTTTCAGCAGCATCCATGGACACAAATACTAATGTGAGTTCTAGTTATTCTTATACATGATTATTTACCAATACAGTGGTACCTACCTCTCAGAATTCAGACACAATCCATTCCAAGACAGCACATGAATTCCAAAACTTTCAAGTTCCAAGGCAGTTTCCCCCCCCCCCCCCCCCCCCCCCCCCCCCCCCCCCCCCCCCCCCCCCCCCCCCCCCCACCCCCCCCCCCCCCCCCCCCCCCCCCCACCCCCCCCCCCCCCCCCCCTCCGAAAATAAATGAAACTGAGTTGATCTGTTCCAGGTTCCAACAAATTGTGTTTATTAACTCTTTGAGTCCCAGGACGTTTAGCATCATAGGCCCAGGGGGTAGTAGAGTCATAAAATCAGCGCATTTTGCATTCATTGGGCTCCTAGGTAGGAGCCTATTAACGTATGATGCGTTTCTTGGGACTCAAAGAGTTAAATGCAGTATAGTGTAAAAGTAATAACAGATGATCATAGTTGAATAGAAGCATGAAAAAAAAATATATATATCTATATATAACATTGCATTCACTCTACCTTGATTTTTCCCACTGTAAATTGGTCACCCCCATCCCATGAAGTGCTGGGCTAAAGGGTGCAGGCAGATATCGCGGTCTTACGGTAATTCACAAAACCACGTGTGGACCACCCTTTAACAAAAGAAGAAGTTTTCCCCTTATTTTAATAACATTGCTTGTTTATGCATAATGAAGTAGATAAGTGTAGCTTTGTTTTTTAATTTGTCTTTCCATTTGCTGCTACTCAATTTTTTCCTGTTTAAAAAAGAAGGGCTCTGTTGAAACACCAATGACTTAATAATGATTGTTATTTTTTTTTTCCCACTTTGGTACAACAGCTGGGGCTTAGTCTAACCGCTCCCACTCCACCTCTGTCTGCAGTTACCCGGGTTTCACATCAAGCACAAACCTCTCCAGCAGGATTGGTGGCTGGCTTCAGTGCCGTCACTGGTAAGTGTAGCTCTTTAAAGTGGAATGTAATAGACAGCATCAGGTATACTGAAAAATGCACTTCGTAGAGGGAAATTAACTGTTAAGCACCAACAAATTAAAGGAAATCAAAGTCACAATTTTGAGAGCATGCATCTTCCCTGTAGCAACATACTGATGTAAGTAATGGACTATGTCACAGCTGTTAAGGAAGATGATAGGAGCTTTTAAGCTGAAATTCTATCGAAAGATTCTCAGAATACCAAAGAAGAAAAAAAAGAATTGCTGAAACCCTTTAAGGTCTGAACAGCAAGGAAGATTAGCTAGTACAAATGGTCTTGTCTCAGAAAATGAAACATTTTGGCAGTGTTGAGCATCTTGACAAATATGGGAAATATAATAGCAGAAGGCAGGGCTCTAGGGCATGGGCGTAGACCAACCAGCATGAAGGTGAGGGCAGGATATCAGTGATACCATGGGTGGGAAAGTGCATGAGGTGGGAGAGCTGGTGAGAGATTGAATTTCTTTCAGGCAGACCATGAAAATAGAAGATCTGCTACATGATGGTGGCACAACTGAGTGCTTAATCTCCATTAGTTTATCTGAAAGTAACTGACCTAATCTCGGCAAGTATTACCATCAAGAGACAAACAGAAAATATTTGTGAGATGATTTTAAGATGCTTTTGCTTCATCTTTTCATATAAATTTTTTAAATTAGAAACCATGAGTTGTAAACCCTTTGACATGGTACTATGGATATCGCAATCCTTCTGCTTTGATTCCATGATAGATACCGTAAACCTGGGAAATATGTGGCTTTTCTGCCTACCCCGAGCGGGAACTCAGACCACAAGGAGTTTGTCATCCGATCTTTCCCTCTAATCTCTCTCATTCCATCTTGTCATTTCTACAGTGCTACCACTGTGACTTTTTATTCTCCAGTTACTTCATTGAAGTCTTAGGGAGAGATGTAAGGTTCTTCTTTGTACTCCTTCTAATGCATTGAATAATTGTTCTACGTTTCTTTAAGCTCTTCTTGGTACCGTCATTCCATATCCTGCATGGTCTTCTAATTGCTCTGTGTTCGTAATATTTTTTTTAGCATGGCTCTCTGTGGCAACTGGTACCAGGGCATACTCATCAGATGGCCAAATCATCTAATTTTCTTCAAAAAATTGACTCTTTTCAGAGCCAGTCTTCTAGTTTCTTAAATTTTGTTAAAAACTTTGTATCTCTTTGTGTTACCCTTTCATCTCTTCTAAGACATTTCATCTCTTTTGTGGTCATTAGTTTCAGAAACGTCACTGTTTGACACCGGCAGCATAAAGTCAAAAAAAAAGAATGGTTCTGTTTAGATCACAGTGGAAACTTTGTTTTAGTTACACAAGCTTATTTTATCTTTGTTTTTCAAATAATCCAGCATAAACAGAATCTCATTATAACCTTGGATTGTTTTAACTGTAAATTCACCAGGAAGCACCCCAGATGCCTTGTTGAATGTGACCAGCAAGATAGAAACAGCTGTTCAGAAAAGAGTTGAAGCTTCCACTGGTTTGAAGGGGGTTCCTGTTTTACCCAGACTTAGGAGTACTCAGAACAGGTGTCTGCTTTGAATTGTTTTTAGTTTTACTTAGCAGCCTGTCTGTCTGTCTGTCTGTCTCTCTCTCTTTCTCTCTCTCTCTCTCTCTCTCTCTCTCTCTCTCTCTCTCTCTCTCTCTCTCTCTCTCTCTCTCTCTCTCTCTCTCTCTCTCTCTCTCTCTCTCTCTCTCTCTCTCTCTCTCTCTCTCTCTCTCTCTCTCTCTCTCAATTCGGTAGTGCTTAAAGTAAATAAAGTAAATTTTCCTCCAGTTATTTTGGTGAGCTCCCATGTTGACTTACCCATTAGGTGCATCTAGCGCCAGAATAGTGGACCAGTTTGGAGACTATTTATGATGCACCCATTCAGACCAATTTGACTCTTGTCTATTCTGGCATGAAATCAATATGTTGTCTTCATTTTACATCCTGGAAAATTTTTTATTTTTTTTTATTTTTTCTCATCATTAATTTTACAGGACAGTTATTCTGCATGTGAGACACTTGTAAAAGTTGCCAAATTTATTTGTATTTGTTCACATGTAAAAATAATAATTAAAAAAAAAAAAAACCACTGATTAATGATTTCTACTACACACACAATCGAGAGTAGACAACTTGCCTCCAAAAGTCGGCAGCAAAGGGGCGAATAAAGCCGGCAGTGTGGACCGGAGACATGAAAAAATGTATAAATATTTCATTACGTATAATATATATATATCATCAAAATAAAATATTTTTTTAAAAATATACCTTTTGTTCACTTCATAATATATTTATTATTAACACAAGTTAAATTCTTTTTTTGTTGTTGCTACATCCTAGGATTTTATTTTGTAAATTTTAAGCAGCATTTAGATTTGATTTGGCAAGTTTATAACTTAACTACACGTTACTCTTGTTTAAACAGGTCAGTTAATGGAAAAAGTGAACATTCACATATTCCAAAATCACTGTTAAAAAAGGAAGCAGTGAAATCAACAAAGTCTCAACACAGCACTAAAATGTCAGCATCAAAGAAGAGTGTTGATTTTCACCTGCGGAAAAGTAGTTCAGTGTTAGGTGCCTCATCACATGAAACCATGCAGACTTATCAGGTAAGGCCATTTGATTATGTATTTCAGGTAAATGCAAGTACATGTTTTATTTCTTGATCAACAAATAAAAAGGTTTACGGTCAAGAGGAGCGCCTTTATTACAAAAGGTTTTATCCGCTCTGGCTTGATGTCTCTGCGGAATGGCAGAAATGCAAAGATTGTCAACAAAGTACGATCACTGCAGCAATGATCTGCAGAGATTTTTGTAAAAATTGTACCTTGGCGAAGTGGTCCATAAAATAGACATATGACCACAGAGACTCTCGCAAATCAATAAATATTGCCTTTGATTATTTTGAATAAAGTGTATTCAGAATTGTAATGAGGAAATTCTCAGTTTCAGAGTCAATGTCAGTACAGTTTGTAGAAGTCACAAAATTAGGTTTATCATAGCTGGAAAGTTCAGGCTAAATTATTATAAAGGCTCAGTGTTTCTGCTTTGTATTTATATTATTGCAGCAAGATGGTACAGTGACATGTTTGCAGTATTTTTTTTTTTTAAATGATCATTTGTAAGTGGCATGCCATGAAACACGTTCTCTCATGATTGCTGTTGCATATATATATATATATATATCTGGTTTTCTCTCTCTCTCTCTCTCTCTCTCTCTCTCTCTCTCTCTCTCTCTCTCTCTCTCTCTCTCTCTCTCTCTCTCTCTCTGATAAATGAAGTTAAATGCACAACTAAAAAATAAATTGTATGTAAAAACTAATTTCATTTTGTCAGCTCAGTCAATTATTTTTTTTTTTTTTTCATAAACTATCTTTTTCATTTAGAAATTTTGTAACAGTAGGTACAAATAAGAATTGCAGTTGTTTTCAGATGTGTCATTTAGCGATCACTGAGCTTTAAGAACTGTGTGTCGTGACACACATTAGTGTGTAGGCAGCAGTGTGAAGGAGTGTCTCACAAACGTAATTTATATAAGTGTCCATGTGTCTTATAAGGGGTTATTTGAACTTCTGGTTTCCTGGTAGACTGAATTACTGTGTCACAAAATCTAAAAAGTGTCACCAACATAAAAAGTGTGGAAACCTCTGATCTATCTAACCTTGATAGTTAACAATGAATTATTAAAATAAGATTATATTTTCAAATGTATCAATTATCTATCATTTACATAACATGGATATGTTAAGAATGGATGACTCTAGCAAACATATTTGCATCACAAAAAAACTACATTGTTATTTATGTTAGTGCCTCAACAAAACAATGCAAATTATTGTTGGCAGAATCATATGAATGTGGTTGCAAATTTTCACATGTTGAAATGTTTAAAATATGAATTTCTTCTACAAGTTACAATTGCTGTTCACAGAATCAAGGGAACACTGTTGCTACATCTGCCTCCTCCATCACTCCCAGGTCATCAAAGCACAATGCCATGGACATCCTAGCCAACAGTGTGAGTCTTCAGTAGAATTTATGACAGTTAATTGTACGTTACATGGGCACAGATATTTTACTTAGCAAGTTTGACTATTATCATAATAGCTGGTCAGGAGGGATGCAGACTGTCCACATGTGGTGGCAGGTAAAGACTAACTACCACTCTCCTTGATTATTCTAGAAACAGTTTTTTAACTGGGGGCAAAGCTAGTGCAGATAAGATCTGTTTGTTGCTTTGAATTCAGAGTGCACGTTTGCCTTGAGAGGAGAAACCAACAGTCTGTACACATATATGTCAGATCTGTAAAACAGATCTGAATGCAAAAGTCCTGTAAAATGAAGGGGGGGGGGGGGGTCCAGAAGTAAACGATCCACAAGAGCTGTCTGCTGGAGTGTGCAGCCGATGTGTGTAAAGAAGCAGAAGCTAGCCCATTCTTGACTGTTAACCAGATATGTTGTCTGTTTTGATTTCAGATTGTTGATTCTGTTTTAAATTCAAGTGACTCTGCACTGTTGTCAGATGTAAGTTTTGACACCGTCCTGGAGTTTGGTGAATTTGGTAAGTAATCTAATGTGCTTTTTAACAACCTTTCCCTAATGTTTCTTCTTGTTGCCTTTCTGTTTTGTCTATCTGCTCTCATGTTCAAAATTTTTACTTATATATTGTAATTGAATATATCTACCTGTGTTTGTAGATCACATACTTATGTGTGTGCGAGTGAGTGAGTGATAGGGAGTTAGTGAAAATTCAACATATAATATGATCTATGAACACTTCTTTTGCCTTTTTAAATGATGTCTAAACAGTTTTTTGTTTTTTTTTTAAATGTTATAAAAACTGTGACTGGGACATTGGCAGATTTTTTTCCACACTTAGACATACTAGGTATATGGTGCTAGACTCATATTTTGACATACTAGGTATATGGTGCTAGTCTCATTTATGTGGACCAGTGGATGACAGAGTAAGTATCCTCCGCCCGTCTTTACTTCAAAGAACATTTTCAGGTACTTGTTTAAGGCTGAGTCGACCTACCACTGATGCAGTAAGCAAGCATACTACCCATAGCTCCCTACATGTCACGTATGCATAATCCATAATAATTATTGTCATTCTGATTGGGAAGGGGGGGGGGGGGGGGAACTGCTGTTACTACTGCCTGTTTTTACCACTTTTTAGGACGGTATAATACCTGGGGCTCTTGAGCCTGAAGATTTAAGCTGTGTGGCTAGTGCTGTCACCACAAACATTCAGATTTTTTGTTGTTGCCCCCGGCAGGGGAAAAAAAGTGTCCATCACTTGACCTAGGATCGAACCCGGGTCTGCGCCATGAGAGTCTGCCATTGTAACCATTCGGGGAAGCAGTATTTTACATGTTTTTCTCTCTGAATGTGATAATGGCACCAGCTTCCTTTCCCGGGTGTGTAATAATCTACTGCATGAGTCTGTGAGTAAAGAACCTTGGAATTTGGTAATGTTTTTACAATGTGTTTTTACTGTTTAGGTGCCGAGGCCTTTCAAACCAAAAACATGATAGGACGCAGTCCTGTGAAGGGCAGCATATCATTTCAGGATATGGAAAATGTGCAGACATCTCCAGGTGCTACACCAGCTTTACTTTCATGTTTATTTTGAGTTAACTTTGATTCTTTGTTGCTAGTTCTCATCTCATCTTATCTTGATCTTCTTGTACCTTGCGGTGTCGAGGTGAAATATAATTTTTGGAAAGAGTCTGTTTTTGTGCTTCATAAATTGGGATTCCCAGATCCTCTAGTTTCCTCTGTCTATTGCTTGTATGGGCGACCTCTTCTTCAGTTGGTGTGTTATACTGTCTGCTGACATGCACATTATATGTTACATGTCGTTATATAGCAAAGCTATTTCACCTGTTGTCTTCTAATGAAATTCCTTCGAACTGCATTGTTTCTGATCTGATCTCTTCTAGTTATATTGAGAGCCTTTGCAGGAACCTTATTTCAGTTGTTATTGTTTTTGTGTGTGGTTGTCCAGGTCTGGCATTGATAGCACAGGGTTGTCATAGAGTGCTCTTTGGGTTTTTGTTTATACATGTTTGTTTATTAATATTGGTTCCATTCTTGCTGTTATAGAACCTAACTGTCAGGCAAACGCGTGATGTTTTTTAGCATGTGTGGATGGGACACACATTGAGAAATTTTTATTATAATGTTACCAGAGTGTTCTTGCACTGGAACCCACAGAAACACTAGGTAGTGTGCCGGCGTGTTGAGAAATGAACAGGCAGGTTCTGCACCACTTGGTGGTAATCGTTGCATGACAAGCTAGATGCTGTTAAGGGCCCTTTAGGAGCGAGTAAAAGTGCAGAAGCATAAAAAGATCAACACCATCTGAAGAGAACAGTGCAGGGAGGAGTGACCAAGGGATCTATCCTATGCTCAGCACTCGGGGGAGGGGTGAGACGATCATACAATCAGACTGTTATTGGTACCATCGGGATGGGAACTCTGCGCTTGTTGCTGATGGAGACTGAGCACTTATAGTCCCGAATGCTTTTTAATTTATAACTCAACACAGGAACAAAGAAATGAAGAGGACCCAAATTTGAGACTGCCTGTATGGTTTAAGGGCCCTCAGTGGAAGCTTCAGCCTAGCAGGCATGTTGTAAATTGTAACTAAAAGTAGGCTTGGGGTTGGCTACCTCATCGTGTTTTTAAAAAAAGTTTAGCTACAAAAACCAACCAACCGAAGATAATTTGAAAAGAGAAACAATTAGTACCCAACCAACCAAGATGAGAAAAGGCTTTTCTAATAGAAGAATGATGTTGCGGTGCAAAAAAAAAAAGAAGTCCGGATTGCCCATGTATTCCTTTCACCTAGGAAAATCTCAAGTCGTACCTGGAATGTTAGAGCTTTTGTGATTTAAGAAAGGTGGTAACAGAAATTAAACATTATATGATTAGTTTTTTAAGATTGTGCAAAACTAGATAGACTGCTGTTGGGAAAAGTATTATAAATTCGGGTGAAACTATTGCGTTCTCAGGCTATACTGAGGAAAATTCTTCCCACAGTAAAGAACTAACCCTGATGCTGTTGAAAGAGGCAAAGAGAGCACTAATAGAATGGGAAACAATGAAACTTAGAATAATACAAATGTCATTTAGAACAACCAGACAGAAAATTAACATGTCAATAATACAGTGTTACGCACCAAATGATAAGGATGAGTTAGTTGAATAAGGATTTTACATGTAACTTCCTAATATTATAAATAATGAAAACAAGTGCGATATAAAAGTGTCGACAGGTGACCTGAATGCTAAGATAGGATCAGAGATTACAGGAACACATGGACTAGGAGTAATGAATGCAAATTGAAAATTATTAACCAATTTTTGCTCAGAGGACAATTGTGTTTGTGGCGGAAGCTTTTTTCCCCGTTAAGGAAAACACAAGGCAACATGGAAATCACTAAACCATTAGACAGCCAATAAAATTGATCATATATGTCTAAACGAAGAAAAAAAATTCGATTTAAAAAAAAAAACTGTTTACAGGTAAACTAATAAATTATTTTAAAAGTATTTATTTTACATTTAAAAAAATATTTGTATAGAAAAATATAAAAGGAATAATGTAAACAAGAACAGGGTGAAGCATTAAATGGAATGCTTTCTCTTGAAAAGGTAGATATATCTGCATGGACTTGGCTATATCACAGCTTTTGTTGCTAGATTTCAGCCTTCTTGGGTTGATAGCATTAAGAGATAAACATCTTACAATCGTAGAAACATAATTGCTGGTGCTAAGTGGTGTAAATTCTGTAGTGGGGTGTTTCGTGTGTGATATACTAAGGAGAAACGACAACATGTAGGAATTCATTTCTGCTTAATCAAACCAACACATGATGTCAGTGTTTTAAGACTAACTAAATTCCTTCTTTAATGCTGGATGTAACATGTGGACATCAGTTTTGTATCATTGTCGGGATATACAAATATGCCTTCAGCAACACATACTGACGATGTGTTGCAAACCTTTCAGATTTCCTACTCCTTTGTCAAAAACAGCAGAAATGCTGCTGAAAACTGTGTGACCGTAACATGGAAAGATTATATTCCAGGCGTGCAGGTGTTTAATCAAACCAACACATGATGTAAATGTTTAAAGACTAACAAAATTCCTTCTTTAATGCTGGATGTTACATGTGGACATCAGTTTTGTATCATTGTCGGGATATACAAATATGCCTTCAGCAACACATACTGACGATGTGTTGCAAACCTTCCAGATTTCCTACTCCTTTGTCAAAAACAGCAGAAATGCTGCTGAAAACTGTGTGACCGTAACATGGAAAGATTATATTCCAGGCGTGCAGGTGTTTAATCAAACCAACACATGATGTAAATGTTTAAAGACTAACAAAATTCCTTCTTTAATGCTGGATGTTACATGTGGACATCAGTTTTGTATCATTGTCGGGATATACAAATATGCCTTCAGCAACACATACTGACGATGTGTTGCAAACCTTCCAGATTTCCTACTCCTTTGTCAAAAACAGCAGAAATGCTGCTGAAAACTGTGTGACCGTAATATGGAAAGATTATATTCCAGGCGTGCAGGTGTTTAATCAAACCAACACATGATGTAAATGTTTAAAGACTAACCAAATTCTTTCTTTAATGCTGGATGTTACATGTGGACATCAGTTTTGTATCATTGTTCTTGCTTTTGCTCTGTTCAGGTTTTATTTTTAAAGTTATTAAACATTTGATTGGTTCTTACTATCAGAGAACTTCTTTTAATATATTTTTTTTATTTCTCCAGCTTGGCAGAAAAAGACTGAGAGCTGTAAAAATCAAGATTTGAACCCTTCCTTCAGTCACGTGTCTGTTATTAGTTTAGATGGCAGGGATGGAGACAGTAGCTGTGATTCACAAAGTGAAGCATTTAACTGGTCTAACAATGCAAGCAAAGATGCCACTAGCTGGCTCCATAAAGGACACACTCCTAGAAGTGGCCTGCAGAGGAGCATGGGCATTGCTGAATCTGTGTCTGTCCTGTCTCGAACTAGCGACTTGCTGAAGCCAGTTTCTGAAGCAGAAAAAAGTGGTAGTGTGCAATTCATGGATTGTGCTTTCTCTCACTCAGAAAAGACACCAAAACACACCAGATTAGATAAATGGAATGAAAATGCCTCTTCACAGTCACTCACCCATGATCGAAGTGTTGTAAATTGTCGGGATGATACAAATATACCTTTAGCAACACATACTGACGATATGTTGCTAACCTCCCAGATATCCCACTCCTTTGTCGAGGACAGCAGAAATGCTGCTGAAGACTGTGTGACTGTAACATGGAAAGATGATATTCAAGGTGTGCACTTCCAGTCCCCCAGAACATTGAAACACAGTGTACAGCATTCACCAGTGATCCGACAAGATTATCAGAACTCTAGAAAGACAACCCCTCATCGAACAGAAAGTAAAAGTCTGCATGTCGGTAAAATAGGATTTGGTATTGAAGATGTGTCTGCTGGTCAGCCAGGTGGTGGACAGGACAGCTGGAGTGAGACT